ATGGGAAGCAGTGAATGAATCCCTTGTTTTGCTTTGCTTGCGTGCGCGGCTTTTGCTTTCCCTATTAAACTGTCTTTATCTCAACCCACGAGTTTTCTCACTTTTACCCTTCTGATTCTCTCCCCCATCCCACTGGGGGGGAGTGAGCGAGCGGCTGGGTGGGGCTCAGTTGCCGGCTGGGGTTAAACCACGACAGAGAGGTTGCAAGCAGGATGCAATTCCTTTACTGTATGTGGTGTGTTTCAAAGGCATATGTGATTAAAGTGCTTTATGGTGTGGGAAAGTACGTGCTCTGTATAAGATTTCTGTCAGTTCATGTATTTATTGGTCTCTTAGTGTTCAGTTTTGATGAACTGGAATGCCTAAGAAGTAGTTGTTACAATGGACGGAGAATACATTTTTCCCCACTTAAAGTGCTGCTCTATCAACTTTACAGTACAAACCCTGCTTTTCATTTTAGCTGGGAGGGTTTTTTAAATTTAGAGACTTTATATCAAAATTAGTGTCATAATTATAAACATAGCAACAATGTTGAAGTTGGTGACAGCAATATCAACCCTGTGCTTTGGGGGGACAGTGGTTTAAAACACTTGATCTCTCAAGGGTTAGAAGAACCATGAATTACTGACATGTGGTTGAAGTTGTCCAGATAGCTAGTAAATTATTATTAAGCCCTAGATGCCACTGTTTAAGGCTCAGACAACTTCAGTATGTAATGCAAGTGCTATTCTCTTGACTTTTATCATCTGAGTGATACGAAGAAAAATTTAGGTTGAAAAAGACCTCAGGAAGAAATCTGGTTCAGCCTCTTACTCGAAGCCGGACTAACTTCAATTGATTTGTATTTGGTTCCTGTTAAATCTCAACATATGCACAATGTCTTAAACACTGGATAAGGAGATTCCATGTGCTTAATTAAGCACTGCAAGAAAGTTGTCTGTCTTGTTAGATGCTAAACTTAAATTGCAAAAAAAGGAAGTTTAAGCCCATTACTATCCTGTCAGCAGTGAACATCAGAAACTTACTCCCCCTTCTGTAGAAGTCTGAAGAAACTAGAGTTTTTGAGCAAGAAATACCCACGTAAGCTCTGCTTTCCAGACATCCAGTCACTCTTGTTATGCTTCCTGACCCTCCAGAAGTCTAGCTCAACAGAGCCCTACACATGAATACAAACTGTATTGTAAAACACTAGCTGCAGCATGGTGTGGGATTGATTTCCTGTTCATCTGTAAACAATAGTCACTGTAACTCTTCATGGGAGACAGCCCTTTGGACCTCCGCAGAAACTTAAAGCTGTACTTTGTGATGTGCCAGAAACCATTAAACACTTCAAATGCAAGGGCAGGCATGCTCAACTCCTAGAGCCCTTTCAAATGCCCTCGCTGCTGTTTTGTCTACAACAAGGACATAGTTTTCCACCTTTTTAGTTAGAATCATAGAATCGTTTAGGTTGGAAAAGACCTTTAAGATCATCAAGTCCAACCATAAACCTAGCACTGCCAAGTCCACCACTAAACCATGTCCCCGAGCACCACATCTACACGTCTTTTAAATACTTCCAGGGATGGTGACTCCACCACTTCCCTGGGCAGACTGTTCCAATGCTTGACAACCCTTTCGGTGAAGAAAGTTTTCCTAATATCCAATCTAAACCTCCCCTGGTGCAACTTGAGGCTGTTTCCTCTTGTCCTATCGCTTGTTACTTGGGAGAAGAGACTGACCCCCACCTCGCTACAACCTCCTTTCAGGTAGTTGTAGCCACCTTGGGACCAGCCAGCTGCGAAGCTGCCTGGACAGCTTTGGGCTTTGCAGGTCACATGTTTCTCCATGTGGAAGCTGACAGGCTGATCCTGGTGCTCAGAGAAGGTGTGCTTTCCAAGCTAGCTGTGGGATTCTGCAGTAGTCCCTGGATAGCTTTAGTATGTCTTGCCATGAGCTGTGTGCTGTAATTAATCTTGAACGGGGATATCAGTGGTACAGTTCATATCTAAAAGGCCATAAGCATTGCTTTCAGTTTATAATCTGCTTGTAGTTGACTAGGTTACAGCTGTAATATGATCAAACAGCAGCTGGAGATCTAAAATAACTTGGAGAGGTTATATACCCTAGGAACTAATGGAAGATAGTCATTCAAAGGAAGTGACTGACAGCTTGTCCTTGCACCAGTTAAGATTCCCTTCCAGTTAGGTGTAAGCTGAGGTGCTCAACAGCATCAGCGTGGTAGGGACAAAGTTTGGCATTGACCTGCTGTATCCGGAGCTACTGCTCCTTGTGAGCTGACATACGTGTTGAACAGAGGTGAAGACCGCTTGCAGCACTAGCTGCTGCTTGGTGGGGGGAACCACCTGGATACAGCTTTTCATCTCCGAGAACAGGACTCTTGATGAGTAGCCCTGTCTACAACCGTCAACACTCCTAGTAAGTTAGTAAGAGTATAGTGTACCAGGGATGCTCGACACTGGGGTTGAGTGGATCCACTTTTTTGCTGCTCTTTTTCTGGGGAAGCTGTAGTGCCCCCTGTCCCCTATCATCCATGTGACAGGGCTGTCTGCTTATATCTTTCCAGCTGTGCAGTGGGAATGGCAGCTGGCTGGCACATGACCATAGATGGTGACATGGCAGGTGCTTGTGAAAGGTCTGTTAAAGACATAATTTGTAAAGGTACTGCAGGAATCGTGGCATGTCCTGGTGGAGAGGTTGAGTACTTCTATGGTAACCTGTTAGAAGCAATTGGTGCAACTCCAATACAGAATTCTTCTGTTGGCAGAAAGCATACATCAAACCAGTATGTGCTGGTGCTTATCTGAACTGGCAAAGCCTCGCAAAGACAGAAAACAACTAGACTAGTAAACTTGATGAGCTTCTGTAACTTGTGGCTGAAATGTCAAGCTTTCATATGTCAGTGATGTAACTATGCTACCTATTTTCCTGCACTAACAATTCAGTAAGTCTGAGCCTGACTTCCTCTTCTTTAATGGCTCAAATTAATTTATGCTTCTACCTGGTAACTGGTAGCTGCCACACAGTCAACTGCAGCTTTTTTTCCACTCTAATGTGTAACATCATTGGTTAGTACCTGCTCAAGCGTTCCAATAGCTGGGACTCAGTAAAGCCTCAGTAGGCACTGAGGTTTTGGATTTATCACTAAAAGCTTGCTTCGTAGTCAGTGGATATTAATAATAAAACCAGTGGCATGGAGTAGAGAGAATTTTAATAGGAAGCTCTTGTCATTGATAAAACTTTACCTCTATCTGTATAATAAAAACATGAAACCAAAGGTGCAACTTCGAGCTCTAAAGGCTTCTAAGATTTTTTTTTCCCCTGCTGCTTCAGGGGCCTCTCCTGTGGTCTCTTGCAGTGGCAGTTGTCTCAAGCTGAATGCTTACATAGGACAGGGGCTGGGGAGGGAAGGGGAATATGGCACTGTAGCACTGTGGGGAAGTCCTCAGTTTTGGAGTAGGATTCTTCACTCCAGCTGGTCTATGGTCTTTACCTTCACAGCTTGATATAAACAAAACTGTTTATACAGTTTATGCATTTGAGGGAACAGATGTGTGCGATAAGGAGATTCAGAGTTCTGGAGGTAACCTTTTTTTTTTGTTACTTTTGGCAAGTATTACAAAAGTACTTTTTAATTGCGTAAGTCTTAACTTACACAATGCTGCAATGGTAATACTGGACTAATAGTAATCTTTCTAATGCTAAAGTGCGATCCTTTGGTACTGAAGACCGGCCCACAGACAGACCTGCTCCTCCAAGGGAAGAAATCTATGAATACATTATTTTTCGAGGAAGTGACATCAAAGACATCACTGTCTGTGAACCTCCAAAAGCTCAACATACTCTGCCACAAGATCCTGCCATTGTCCAAGTAAGTTAGCCTGAAGTGTTGATTGGAAGCTATGATAAAACGTTGGTGATGAAAGACTTGATTTTGGTATAAACTTATAAAAATGAAGGCCGGTACGTGTCTCCAGGAATCTTCAGATTGAAGCATCCTGAATTTTGTTGTAATGTTTAAAATAGCAGCAGCATTAAAGACTTCAGTCAACAAAAGCCAGAGCTAGTTTACCTAGCTGAGAATGCAGGAAAATCATAAAGAGGTAAACTAACCCTTCTCGGTATTTACTTAAGCTTTAGTAATGCTGTATGTGAAGTAGAGAATCACTGCCAAAGCAAGTTGACTTCTGGACACTGTAAATGGAAATGTACTTTGTCTTGTTACAGTCTTCACTGGGCTCTGCCTCTACATCATCCTTTCAGCCACATGTGCCTTACAGCCCGTTTAGAGGTATGCCACCTTACAGCCAGCTTGCTGCCAGCTCTTTACTTAGCCAGCAGTATGCAGCTTCGTTAGGTTTAGGTAAGTAAAAACTTTACTTGCTAGAATAAAGGTACAGTCCTTGTATGCAGCTACTGTGAAACCAAATAACAGTAACTAACACTGAATTCCTTGCCAAGTGTCAGGCTGCAACAAGCAGTAAATGAGTAGTTAACAACTTTGTGCAATGATCTTATTGCAAGGAGGCCTGCGTTTCACTTAGACACAGACAGACATAGGAAACAAACTAAACAGCTAAAGTTTCTTTCTGAAAGTAATGTGAATAGCTAACAGTTGAGGCCAGCTCATTTCTAACCTAACATACCTTACCTATACATCACATGTAAAAAGAACTTGTATTCCCAGAATGGACTGTAAATAAGCTGCTCTAATGCTGTTCTAGAGATTCTTGTATCTCTTTCCAAGTCCTTCAGGTGTTTCACTACCTTGTATCTTATCCATATATCTTTGCTTTCTCTTCTTCCCTCTATCTCTTTAGAGAAATTGGTAAGCCCTCCAGCATCAGCAGCTGCTTCCAGCCCTAGTTCTTCTCCGTCTCCACAACCTGTTTCAGAGCCTGACATGTCTTCAGAGCCCCATCAGCTCTCTTCCAAGGGTAACAGCAGTTTGAGGACTCCAAATATTTGGAAGAACTGCATGGCACTTGCAAACACGCTGTTCTTGTTAACCCCTCCTAGAATGATAGTACTTATATGGGTAATGCTAGTAGAACTAGTTTGTTCTCAGCTATTTTTGCCTTTCATTACATGAAGTATTCCTCCTGTCCTAGAAGTCTCAATTAGAGAGACAGGAGAAAAAAAGTACAGGACAGCGGATCCTCTTGTGTAAGTATCAGGAAAGGGCTGAGGTTTAGGGATGTTGATGTGCTGCATCCTGTCCAGGAACATGTGTCACCTTAGAGACTGGGCAAGGAATTAATTAGTCTTTCCTGGAAAGACAAGCACACTGCTTAAATTGTGGGTGGCCTTGCTGTTAGAGACATAGCTTAATAGAAAATTCAGGAGTATTGCTATAAATGAGGAAATATCAGGATAGATTTCATGCATGATGGGGCATAGTACCTTGTCAAGACTCCCAATTAGCAGAGCATGACTAACAGTAAGCAATTTCTGAGTTGTGATAAGCTGAGATAACATAGTTCTGGGTGCTTGCTTCTATGTGTAAAAACTTTTAAAGGAGGTTGAGTAGCGATACTAGACTGACCATCCTCAGAGCAGAGAGACCAGGTGCAGCCTGCATTTAAACATGGTAATTAGTTTCATCTGTTTTTAACTTAAGCATGTGTGCTTGTGTTGGCATGAAACTGTTTTTACTTACTCTCTGGTTTTGGCCATCTATCTGTACGTACTTTCTCAATATTCTGGCTAAGCTTTGAAACTTTCTCATGTTAAACTTGCACAGCAGCTTTGTCCTACTGAATAATTCTTAGGATATGTCTGTCTTCCTTGCAAGTTTTCCAGGTGAACATTAACTGGGAACCTGCATGATGTTACCTACTGGGTATATCTCATGTGGAGAAGTGTCAGTGGCTTGGTTTGTGTGTACTCTTCAGCTTTCCACTTTTCTTGCTCTTAAAGTATGTTCAAAGTTTGCTTCCAAGCAGTTCTTATGCATAACTACATAAACCTGTAGTACTCCAAAACTTCTAATTAAATCTAGAATGCAGTGTTTCTTCTGAGTACTGAAGACTGTCACTTTTTAATATAATTGGTGTAAGGTATACCAAACCATGAAAAGTATTTACATGTTTTGTAGTGTGAATAAATAAGCCTGGATGGAAGAGCAACAGAAGTCTTGGTAACACTTTGGCCTTGACCAAGAAGGAATTTAAAAGGGTAACTTTGAGATCCTGGTCTGGTTTCAGGTTTTCTTTGTCTGAAAGCTAACAATAAGCAATGAAGTTGAAGGACTTCTAAAAATGGCTTACAAAATGGGATAAGTTGAGGTGGTTAAGCTTTTGCTGCAAAACTTTTTTGATGAAGTGGGGAAGCTTTCTTGAGCAGTTTCAAAATGGTGGATTTTTGCTTCAGATTTAAAGTATCGTGTAAAGTAAAATCCTGCATAACCAAGGATACACCTTGAATTAGATTTTGGTATAAACTGTCTAAGAGACTGACCTGGCTTGCTTACCTAATGTGTGTCTAACTTTGGTTTAAGAAATAAATGGGTAGATTTCCTGATTTTAAGCCTCTGAATTTGAGAGCCGCGACTTGTATGGCAGTAGTGCCTTACCTAGTGTATATGCCACTTAAACATAGCATGTAACGATAAACACTCAAGGCGCTGAGTAATTCTTGACAAAACGGTTTCTCCATAGAAGTGGGTAGGGTTTGAATAGCATTGGCATGTTTTCTGAGAGGCACTTAATCATTGGGATTTTTCCAGGTGCTGGCTTTCCTTCTGTTCACCCAGTCCGCAAAAGCCCCATGGTAGAGCAGGCTGTTCAGACTGGCCCAGTTGACAACATGAATTCACAAAAGCCACCCCCAGTGAAAGTAACTCCAGGGGTTCAGCGCAACGGACGGCAGGTTCCACAGGGCAGCAGTAAGGCAAATGGTATGTGTGCACCACTTCATCTTTAAAGTGCTGTTTTGAAGCATCCTTCAAAGGTGCATAGCAAGACTAAACTGTTTCAGTTTTGTTCTTGTGCTCCTTTATTAAGTTTATCCTTCTTGTTCAGTAGATACAGTTCAGGCAGCACCTGTGCAAACCCAAGGACAGGTGAATGATGAAAACAGAAGGCCTCAAAGGAGAAGATCAGGTAGGTTAACCTGACACTACACAGTCGCGTTAGCCTATAAAGGCAAATACTGTTAATTTCAGTGAAGGATTATCAGACAGAAGATTGAGAGCAAGATAAAGCTTGATAAGGCTTTGGGCAGCCAGAGATGCATCCCTAACAAAATAGGTTCTGGGGTCACAGAAGTTCAGAACATTCCAGGGTCAGAATTCTACTGTCTTTCCTAGAAACTTGAAGGTATGTTACATAAATTGATACTATGAGTTGGCAGCAGCAACTAGATTTCTCTGAAACCTGAAGTATTTTTACTGGGAAGGGCAGCCTGTTTAAGAATTTCCAGAGCTCTTGGAACTAAGAGGAACTATGGATCCCTCACTTCCATAGAGCAGAGCTTTTATCTCAAGACTGCAGTTTAAGCACAGGTCAAAAGAAAGTGAAATTAAATTCAAACAGATATTTCTGCCCAAGCAAAATGAGAAAAGGCAGGAAACAAAAGTTCAGACTCTCGGGTCTTCAAATTAATTTGCCTGAAGGCAGCACTGTAGAAGGGGTTACAGCTTTTCCAAAAAGGAGTTGATAGCTTCTCAGTTGGAAACCAGAAGCTATACAAATACAAGCTGCTTTTGTGGGTAGATGAGTCTTGGGTGGATTTTCTGAAACCAGTGACCTGCTCCTCTTTGCTATCATGACAGGTTTGTAGACTGTACCATGCTTGCAGATGAATAGCAGACAGCAAAGATAGTTTTCCCTGCTTCCCTCAGCTTTTCTTGGGATAGTAGTTGTTCTGATTTCCTCTCCTCACACTGGAGGGAAAGTTGGGTATGCTCTGTCTTAATGGTAAGACTGACATCCAGGGATGTTTTGCAGAAAGTTAAAGTATTGCTGTAATGTGTCTTCTACAGCCAAGTTCAGAAATTACTTTCAAAGAGGTGTGGCCTAACTACAGGACTAGAAGCCAGCAACTCCTGAGTTCTAACCTTGGTTTGCTCTGGTCTTGAGCAAGTCATTTAACCTCCCTGTGCGTTACCAAGTGTTTAAACTCTCCTGCTTTCAGGAAACAGGAGAACCAGAAACCGTTCTAGAGGACAAAACAGACCAACTACTGTGAAGGAAAATACAATAAAGTTTGAAGGTGACTTTGACTTTGAAAGTGCAAATGCACAATTCAACAGAGAGGAACTTGATAAAGAATTCAAGAAGAAACTAAACTTTAAAGGTTTGTGACTTCATTAAATGTGAATCACTGAGCTAGTAGTAAACACTGCATAGACAAACTCGTTCTGAGAAACTGCATGATTACATGTGGCAGCATCTCAAATCTTGTTTGAGGGAGCAAGAGAACAGATGGCTCTTCAGTATGCATCAAGGAAGTGTAATACGTTTTATTATCTTCAGATGACAAAGCAGAGACGGGGGAAGAAAAAGGGGACCCTGGAGTGGCAACTCAAAACAATGACGGTAATGCAGAGGAGGACCTTCTGGGACCCAACTGCTATTATGATAAATCCAAGTCTTTCTTTGACAACATTTCTTCAGAACTGAAATCTAGGTGAGTGTTTTCCAAAAGCTTGCTTTTTTAATGCAATTTTAGGCATAGAATTCTAGACATAATCTATGTCACATGGTTTAATTCTTTAAAAATCTTAGAATGCAAGAAAGTCAGCAAAGCCGTCTTTAGAAGGGAGTATTGTCATACACTTGATGGCTCATGGGTGATATTAACCAAGCTTCATGCAGTGGAATCAAACAAAAAGCAAGGATTTAGGCAGATACTGATACGCTTGCCTAAACTATGATACAGGAATTTCCAGTTCTGTTTCCCAGCACTGACTTTGAACCCATTGATTTTAAACAAATTTCTTATCTCGTTTGTGGGAGACGGCATCGGGGTCATGCTGTGCTGAAGGTGGTGCAACTTGCAGACAGGAGCAAGCTAAGCCTGGAGTTTGGGCAGAGGGGAGGTCAGGTCTGTCTGGAAATGCATTATATTAAATGTTGGGAATATTAAGAGAAAGCTTCGTCTTTTGCTGCTGACACTGATGTTATCAACTGCTTGGTGGAGTTAGACACCCCTTTAGTGTCAGTATGTGAAATTCCCTTGGTAATGTCTCTGCTTCCCTTCAGCAAAGCTTGCTTCCGAGTGCTCGCTGTACGGCATTCAGGGCTAGGCAGGCTCTGCTAAGGAAGAAACGCACTGGTGCTGTGGAGCTACCTCCGTAGCAGTCTGCTGAACCTCCGTTGTGACAGGGCTTCCCGGGTTTCTGGAGAGGCTTCACTGAGTCAAGAGTTTGTATTTTTCAAAAAAACAAGATAGGGTTTGAAATGCTAGTGAGACTGTGTTCAACCCTTTTCTAGGCCCATCTTTAGTTTTCTGGTATGAAAGTAGCTTACAAAAGCCAACAGCTGTCACTTCCAAATCCATGCTTAGCAGAGGAACTGAGTTAGTGAGCATGTGTACGCTGCAGCTTGTTCTTGTTGCAGTTCAGTTCAATGAAATAGGGTGCTTGAAGCTTCCTAGCTAAATGCAGCTTGTTCTTGTTGCAGTTCAGTTCAACGAAATAGGGTGCTTGAAGCTTCCTAGCTAGAGTTGGCGACTATTTAACGTTTATATTGCATCTGAATGCAGTCTTGTTCAGTTCTAGGCGTACCACGTGGGCTGAAGAAAGGAAGCTCAATACAGAGACATTTGGAGTGTCTGGACGGTTCCTTCGCGGCCGCAGCTTTCGTGGTGGATTTCGAGGTGGAAGGGGTAGCGGAGCAGCAAGGCGAAACCAAACCACTCACAGAGCTGGTACTGGCAGAGTGTAACTTCAGAGGCAAGTTTTTTAGCAAGAATAAATAGTGTCTCTGAGCCAGGTTTGTCTCTTATTCCTTGCCTGAACTGTCTGTGCAACCTCTTGCTCTCCAGTCTCATGGATATCTCAAGAATTGTTCCTTATTGTATCTGATCTGTCCTTCGAAGTGGTAGAAGGAAATATGAGCGGTTTTAACACGTTGATTGTTCTGTTGATTTCTTGGGCTAGCCTTCTGTCTGAGACAGCAAGAGCTGCTTCTTTGGGCCAAGTCTCTAGCTAAGCATTTCAGTTGATACATGGGTGTGAACTTTGCTGCTTTTCTTTTTCCTGGGAGAAGATCCCCATGATACCAAATCTAATTCTACCTTTTTTTCTGAATAGGTTCTAACATCTCTCCTGAGAGGATGAAACTGTATATAGAAAGAAAGCAACCAACTGCTGCACTAATGTGGGAAAATGGTTCATATTGTTTACTGTCTCAGCTCAAGCGACAGAACTTCATGTACTACTGCTTATATTCTGGACTTATTTTGGACCAGCAAATGTCAGCTGGAATATTCTTTGGAAGAGGGAATGTGTTCAGGGGTACCTTCTTCAGGGTGTCTTTTTTGTTTGTGTTTTGGTTTTTTTTTTTAAGTGCAGACTAACTTACATGGTTCTTCTTTCTGGGTCTCTCAAAGGCTGCTATAGTCTAAGCTTAAAGTCAGACTCCTTTTCTGAACCCTGAAGAAGATAAATCATGCTGTTTTAACATGGAACCAAAGCTCACTTGAAATAAACCAGCTATAATTTGTTTGTTCTGAGTAACCAAATGGATTCTTTGGTGCTGCTGGTCTCACTGTTCTCAGCAGCAGGTGTGAAGTAGCACTTGGTATCTGGAAGAGTGGATTCCTGGTGCTGGGGAGTTATGTATATTGTCACTTGGGAATACTGGATTGTTGATCATGTAGTAGTGTAACTGACTGTGCAACTGTTTGTCGGCTGGTACTCACGTGGAGGTACTGCAGGTTTACACAGAACCGTGACTCTCCCTCGAGCTGAAGGGGGCTGGGTGTTCCCAGAGGCTTGGAGCTCCTTACTGGGTCAGGGCAGTGTGGGGGGACAGCGTGCTGTGCCCTCAGCGGGACAGGAGCGGCAAGTGTCTCCGCTCCTGTGCTCAGAATAAAGCGTTTTTGGCAGTAGTTGACTGTCTGGGAAGGAAACCTGAAGCTCTGACTTCTTGCCTCAGTTTGTGCCTCGCTCATAGGTGGTACCAAACGCAAACAGTTCTCTGTACACTAGTAGACTGTGGTGGAACACTATGGAATGTTTTCATTAAACTAGGGATGGGAGTCCATATAATGAAGCTTAACAGATGGGCATGTTTAATTTGTTTCCTCTATACCCCCCCATACTGTAAATAGTTTAGTTGTTTTTCTTTTGTTTTTAAAAATCTGTATGTGGGGAGAGGGGCTGGGAGGGGGGGTTACGTTTGTTTGCATGAATAAGTGGGTTAAATTGCTATAGGCATGTGTCCCTTTTTCGGTTGGTAGGGAATTTTGTTGAAAAAGCACCTTGATGACTGAACCCCTTACATAGCTAGAATTTTTTAGTTATGCATTGACCTAGGTTACTGTAAAAGCTTGGATTTATTTTTGTAGGACTTTATTGCTAAGAATTAGAACATAGCAGTGGGGCTGCTCTTTGGAGTAATGTAAATTGTAATTATAATAAACATGTAAATGTTTAACGTTTCCCTCCTACTTTGTTTTGTACGTAGCTCAGTAACATCAGTCTGTGCAGCTTGTCAGGTGCCTGTCCCAGCAGGGCTCTAACCCGAGTCAGAGAAGACGGGGCTGCAGGGTTCTGGCAGGCCTGGAAAGCGTTACACAGTATTTGAAATGGGCTTAAAAACCCTAATCCCAGCACTGACCCCCTTGTCACTGTTACCCTGTGTTCTGTGTTCCGGCTCTCTTGTTGAGGGATCTGCCTAATTGAGTGTTCCTCTTGTCCAAACCGCCCGGAGCGTGCACCGTGCTGTGTGACTACCTGGCAGAGCCCGACTCCTTGGGCTGGTGGGGTGACTAGAGCTTGTTTTGGGTGGTAGTGCTGCTGGTTCAGTAGCCACAAATGCCTTCAGTATCTGGGCTCATACCAGCAAAACAGGGCGTGTGCTGAAACCGCTTACTTGGAAGCTGCTGCAAGCCTCTAATTTCTCTGCTGACAAAACATTAAGTGTAAAGATGGAATTGCGCTGCCAGAGTCAACTGACTTGTTTGAGGTAGCTGTGGCAAAATGGGAAATCATCATTAACTTCTGTGTGATAATGCCTTTTCATTTATTTTTAAGGCAGTAATTCCCCTTGTTTCTACTGTAAAGCCTTGGAGCTAATACGTAAGACACAGTCATTGTTCCTGCTGAAGTTACTGTACCACAGATGTGTCCCAGCCTCTCCAGTCGAGCACTGTACAGTCGAGCACTGTACCTGGCTCATTCTGGTGTATGGGAGCAGCGTGAGGGGACTAACGGCTGTGGCTCTGGGAGCAGCGTGAGGGGACTAGCGGCTGTGGCTCAGCCCCGGGGCTCAGGAACTGCGAGCCCCTCTCCAGCAGGAACACTTGTTCTGTTGGGTCTGGGGCAGATGGCTCGCAGCCCTGTCACCTTCCATGTGGAAGATTCCCAACACGGAATGATGGTGGTGACTTGTGTGGGGAACCAAACACAGCTTTTGTAACTTCAAAATTCCAGTCCAAGGACTGATAAACGAAACAACACGGGATTCCAGCAACTCGCTTTCTCTAGCTGAAGTGGTCTAATGCTTTCCTGAGCAGAAGCAGTGCTGCAGCTTTCCTGTCCTTGATTCCTGTGGGATACTCTGCCCACACTTTGCTTTGTGGCATTTAGCTGTAAACAGCTCAGCTGTGGTGCGAGAGGCCAGGGAGCATGTGAGAGTTACTGCAGGTTTGTATCTGCTGCCTGGAGCAGTCCCAGTGATGTCTGACCGGCCTTCCTAGGGATGCTCGGGGGGTGTGAGGTGCCCTGGGGCAGGGGCTCCTGTAGCTGAGCTGCCTCCTGCAGGGTACCGGGATGCTCTCAGTCCTTGCTGTGCCTGCTGCAGGGTACCGGGATGCTCTCAGTCCTTGCTGTGCCTGCTGCCAGATGAGTCTTGCTTTCTACCTGTAAAACCACGTGCTGGTTGTCAATAGCAGACTGAAGAGCTGCTTTCAAAGGCTGTTCCAGTTCCTTGGTGGCTCTAAGTAGGGAAACTTTTATCATAAAGTGGAACCTGTTACTATTGCAAGCAGTGCAAGTCTTGTGGGTAAGAGCTCGGGTGTGGGAGAGGCCTGAGGCTTCTCGGAGATGGGAAAAGACAACACTAAGCATGACAGCATGACAGCACGACTTATGGGAAAAGACAACACTAAGCATGACAGCACGACTTCGTGAAGTGACCAACTTTCCCCTTCCCTGAAAGTTGGGAGTAGAGATGCCCAGACAGGAGGGACAAAGCCTTTTATTGTGCTTAAGGGTTGTATTGAAAGATAAACAAGGCCCTGGGAACAAAAGGAAATGAAAAACAAAATTTTTAACATGGAGACAGGGAGGAGGTGAACAATCCTGTTCACCCCTGTGCAGCACGAGGGATGGGAGACCTGCTCTGTCCTGTACCCACCTTGTTTCAGAGCTGTGCAGGCCCAGGGGCCGGCAGGAGGAGCCTCACCTTGGCCGGAGCAGGATGGCCAGCTCCCACCCCTGCCTGCTTCTGCCTCCTTTGTGTCACAAAGGGCCTTAGAGTATAGGCTGTAGTCACCAGAGAACTGTCCTGATCTGCTCTGCAAGGCGGCTGAGGTGCTGACAGCAGACCAGTCAGCTGGAAAGAGCTTTTCCATGACCGGAACCGGAGAGTGGAGATGCCACGATACAAATACCTATGTGAAATAAAACTCCCTATTTCCAGTCACATCCCCTTTGGGCTAGTTTTATACCATTTCAGTAAACAGTTGTCACCTGACACCTTCAAATGTATGTACTTCTAAGTTTATTACATTATACACGTTAATGTCTGCAGCAGGTAGATGGCACAGTGCAGATCCTGACTCTCAAGAGGAACATGACGTTGGTGCACAGCAGCGTGGAGGCAGGTCTCTGCCTCCCTTACATCTCCCTCCGCTGAAGGGAAGAGAGAACTGGCTCATGCCATTGCTGGGACTGGGAACAAACAGGCTCGACCAGAAGCTGAGTTAAAGTCAGCTCCTGCGGGTAGGATGCACAGAGCAGCAGCGTGAAAGTAAACACCAAAGGAGAAACGGGACTAAAGCTTTGTACTTTCACTGTGTTGTATGTAACGTTCTCTATAGTTATTTTTAGCATTAGGAAGTGACTGGTCTGTAAATCCCCTAGTGGGCAATCACAGAAAAAAAAAAAGCATAACTCGGTATTAGTTATGTTCTGTTGAGGTCGTAACACAACACTTGAGACAGCTACTAAAAAAAAAAACCAGCTAACAACTGAGACAGCATGGAAGAGACTCATTAAACAAACTGCAGCAGCTGAGGAGAAAAATGCAAACAAAGTCTTTATCCTTTAATGGGTCACTACTGCTGGTTTGTAGCCAGCCAAATAATCCTAGGTTATTAAAATCCAAGGAACAGACAGATTTTTTTTAAAATAACAGCTTAAAAAAAAAGTCAGTAGGTTTATTGTAGGTCTCGAGAGCACAGTATGAGTAAGTGGAATGCCTACATGTTGTCTATACAGAATAACCCATCACTTGAATTAAAAAGAAGGAGCTAAGCAGTTTAATTTCATTCATCATGATGTTTTCTTCTGTTTTTTCTTTTCATTTTCTTCCTTTTCTTTTTCAATTTCAGCAACGTACTTCTCAATCTCTTCAGGATTTAGGATCTAAAACAGAAACACGGGTGACCCTCGAGATACTAATACAACTGAGAGGCTTTTTATTTAAGCAATTCTAGTTCTGACAGGGAGAGAAAGTTAACTGGTATTTATACAGACACAGGTACCTTGTGCAGACACAACAACATTCCTTGGCCACTAATAATAAACAGAAGTATTTGCCAGGGCAGAACGGGAGATTAAGGGCTGGAAGTTAATGCAGATCAACAAGGACAGTATCAGAGAAACCGGCTACAGAGGGAGAAAAGCAAAACAAAGCCCTTACCGCGCCGTGCGTCCCTTCCCCCACACCCCGCCAGCTCAATGTTCTTCCCACCAGACTGCACAACCTTAACAGGAGTTAGATGTAGGTATTATTAATTAATTCTAACAGCCCCCTTTCAGGTCTTCTTTGAAGGAGAAGAGATACGGATGGGGAGCATTTCCCTCATTAGCTCTAAGCTCTCAACTCCACAGCAATGTAACTCTTTAAAAAATAAGGGTCTTCCTTCTGGCATCAACGCACGCAGTGGCTGGTGAAGAACACCTCACTTCCACCATCTGACTTCTGGTATTTTCTGTATCTTAAACTTCAATAAAAGAGCAAAACATTCTGCATATGGTTTAGCGTATCTTTGGTGTGTTTGTTTTAACACCCAGAACCAAACCGAAGAGCAAAACATTCTGCATATGGTTTAGCATATCTTTGGTGTGTTTGTTTTAACATCCAGAACCAAAGTCTGTTTTCCTCCCCAGAGAGCTGCTAGTAAGTTCTTCTGTGTAAGCTACGGAAACCCTTACCTGAAATATTCTGAGCCTCGAATTTAATCCCACACGTACGGCCTACAATGAACAGTTTTCACAGACCCTTTTACAGGAAATCCTCATGCATGTCACAGGAAAGCACGCGTACTCACAATTACGAAGTTAATCCAGACATACGGTGAAAAGTCACACGAGGGATTTGAAACAGACTCACCTCAAGAAGAGCCTTGATGACAAGTTTAATAGTTAGATCATCTGTTTCAATGGCTTCGTCAGTATAGTTTTTCTCCAGAAATTCACGCACAGATTTGGCTCCTCTGCCAATGGCGTTAGCCTGGAAACATCGAGGGGAAAAAAGAGAACAAACAGAAGTTTAGGAAAGACTTCACTGACAGAATAAGCAAGAAATAAGAGTTGTGCAATTACATAATCTGAAACCATTTTGTGATCACCATGTATTTTTCAGGAGACTGAACATGTTACTGCCCAAGTGTCACACAAAAAGACAGTCGTCAGGCACAGGTGGGGTTTTTTTTGGAAAACAGGACAAGATTTTCCAAGTAAAGCTGAACTGCAGACTGCCATTCTCAGTAAATTTGATCATTAAGGATTTTTGCAGCTGTGAGCCAGCACCCTCTGGCCAGTTAGATCTCCTTTCTACACCAGTCTCTCTTTAAAGGAGACAAACTCACAAATATTTCATTGCTTCTCCACAAGAGACAGAATCAACTCACCTTCCAAGCATGGTATGTACCAGAAGGATCGGTCTGGTACAGCCGGGGGGTTCCATCAAAGTCAAATCCCACGATAAGAGCAGAGATACCAAAAGGTCTGCGACCGTTGCTTTGTGTGTATCTCTGATCAGAAAGAAGAGACACTTATTTCAGAAGCAGTTCTAAAAACATTTTTAGAGTGGAAAGCAGACAGTGTAGACATTACAACCAGAAGAGGCACCAGAAATGTTTTTAGCGGGCTTTCGTATCAATCTACCTGTTAAAGTTAGGATTCTGCGTCTTACAGAAGACCATAAGCAAGGCGAGGAAGAGGTGGTTATTGTTCAACCCCTGTTCCTAACACCCGCTGAAGTCTGCTGCGTGATTACAGCTATCGGGAAGAATCTCTCTTGGCTGGGTGGTGCTGAGAGGCAGAGAGCGCTAAGTCTGCAAGCCCAGGTGTAATGCTCTGCCTTGCCAAGCATGCTTAAGGAAGCCAAAAAAAAAGAGGATGACGACACCCGAACACCAATGATTTGCAACAATTCCATCAGAAAGCACGGCCTCGTCTGTGGCGATAAGCAGGCTACAGGAAAGCCCGCGTTACAGCCCTCCTGCTGATGCTGGGTTAGCAAAGTCATTGCCACGTCACACACCAGAAGTGCCCACGATCAAGGAGGCCCGACACCAGCAACGTTATCGCAGCAGGAACACTGTGCGAGATTTATGGTTTCTAACAGTTTTAGAGAAATCGTCAATGTGCCAGAACGAAAGGCACAACTGTGAGATTACTGTAAAGGAACAAAGTGAAACTTTGGAAAGTGGTATTCTGCGCTGGCAGGCTAGCGATTATGACAAGAATTACACTGTTATCGTCATCACTGTACTAACACATGGCTGTGCGTAAGTAAATTAGACTTTTTCTAATCCCCACTAGTTGCTGAAAATCAGTTTAACACACTGGCAAATGAATAATTTTATCCCAGAATGCAGTTGGGCATATTTTGACTCTGTAATTCATTTTAAATTCATGAATATCAAACGTAAATATATTAAGTACTGCACTGATTTGCTCCCCTCTTACCCCTCCCTGCAATGGCTTAGTAGGAGGGAAAACAAACAGGAGCCGTGAAGATGTTTTGACAATAACACAGCACCATTGTTATGAGAGTGAATTAGAGCTGTAGATTAGCAGAGTGTTCCTGACGATATCACAAATGTAGTTCTGCAGTCCTTACAAGTACTAATTAATTTCTTCATCTTTGGAAAAAAGACCAAACAGTAATCAGTCCTCCTTTTCTATTACTACATCCCCATTTTTCCAATAAACGCCCACAATGTGTTTTGTTACGCTGATTTTTACCAGCTGAGTAGAACGAGGCCAGGACAGACATTTTACGTGCTTAGTCTGAAGCGCTGTTCATCAGGACATATTTTAAGCATCTCTGTGTGGTCCAACATACCTGTTTCAGACTAGCAATGTAACGCGTGATGTACTCCACGGTGACAGGATCCTCCACTGTAAGTCTGTGGCTTTGACACTCCACACGAGCTCTATTTATAACTATTCTAGCATCAGCTGTCAGCCCTGAAATGACAGCGTATTCTCAGATTCATGCTTCGTACCGTACGCACAAATAAAACAACTAGTCTTGCCCCAAAGGCTCACAAGGTCAGTGTCAACAGCCATGAGAAAAGCAAACGAGGGATCACACTTTCTTAGGTTTGCTGAGCAAGAATAGCATTTTTAAGGCAACAGAAAGCAGCTAATGTACCAAAATAAGCAGAGGATTTGGTTTACAGCTTTCGTGTTTGTGAGTTAGATAACACGTGCGATTCTGAACCAGGTAATTGGAATGTTACTGACAGACTGACAGCACTCCATCTAACAGCAAGTTCACAGAGCAATCTCAATTCTCACACACGTTCATTTTATTTCTTATGCAGTCCCCCTAACTGTAAGCCAGCTTTCTCTGCAGAGCAAATCTTGCCTAGTTGATGAGGCTACAGCAGCATGATCTTAGCTGACAACAATGAGTATGACCCTTTAAAAAAAATTTTTAAAGAAACTTATTTCTTATTTTACTTTTTAGCTTATGATGCCATTCTCAATTTGCAGCCTGGTTTTTATCAGAGAACTTTTCTTCAAGCTTGTGAACCCACCTGCACGTACCACAACCCTTAGCTAAGGGAGCGAAGCAGCACACTAAATCTAAAAATCCATTGGTTTTGCCGGTTCAATCAGATCTCCCCTTAAAGCATTACTAACACTGACACAAAGATTCTAAACCACTTGAAGAGAGGGGAAACCTTCCGAAATACGCTCTGTCTCCATTTACGTCGGGTTTTTTTAACTTTCATGCTTCCTGTTTAAGCTTTGAACAATGGAAATTAAGCCATTTGGAAGAGGAAGAATGTGGAACTAGAATATTTATGCTTCAAATCCAGAGCTGTTCATTCAGAAGGAGTCTTCTGAACTAGAACAGAGGAGATTTGTCTTTCTTTTATGCAAGACTGCAAAATTTAGCTTTTTTGGCTTGATGCATGTGGGAAAAGGTCCCCATAACTGACAAGTGTCTCTTATAGCTCCTGGAATGTGTATTAATAATATGTATTTTATATATAATATATAAAAATTTAAATATTTAATTTTAAATACATAAAGCATTTTAAGGAAATATATATATAAATTTAAATATATATATTTAAACAGTATATCTCTGTATCTGTGCCAATGACACATCAGTTCTCAGTCTTCATCCTCACATTAAACCTAGAGGACATTAGTAATTTTAACACGTATTTCCTCTTGTTAGAACATTGGCGCGCTCTCTCTATATATTTATCTGTACAGTAGGCTACTCTTATTTAAAAAAGAATAAGCAACCATGGAAATATACTCCTTCCCCACAGTCCTCAGCCAGTTATGCTAAGTATTTTATGTTCTCAGAATCCATAGACATACCCAAAAGCGCTCCAGTAACTGCCAAAACCCCTGAAGGGATCATATACCTGCAAAAGCCATGCAGACATTGTCATCGAGAGCACAGATCTTCCGTACAGTTCTTTCATCCTGAAGTTTTGCCACAGACTTCTTTTCCACACCAAGAACAACAATATCCTTCCCTCTTACTCCAACCTTCAACGCATTAAAAGAAGAAGAAAAAGTTAAGCTAGGCTCAAAAAACCTAGTAGTTGCAGACTTCACTGAAATGAGAAGGAAAAAAACAAAACACACAAAAACCCCACACTGTAAACATTATTTTAACTTGAAGTCAATGGCCTATGGCCACAACCTGGAGAAAGGACTGATGTAACAAAAATTGCATTAGATTCCAGGGTGCAGTTTCATAATCGGCTTATACCAATTTAAATGTGTGGCTCCCAAGAGATACAGTCCCGCTCCTCTTACCAACTATGTTTTCCCCAACTCTCCCCAATACCAGCATTAGTGCTTCCACAGCCACAGAAGCAGGACCAACAACAAAACTACCACTAGTCCACTGGTATTGCTCAAGTCAGAACCCAAAACACTGAAGATTAGACCAAGTAAAACCTACAAACCGTCAGTAGTTTGCTGCCTTAATGTCCTAATTCATACTTCGAACGCACCTTTCCCAACATCAGGGAGGGAAAAAAAAAAGTTGACCTTTCACACTCATTCCCACTGCTCCTCATAGGGTGATGGGAGTCATTTTTTCTTACGGGGTGGCCCTACTGTTAGTGTGTTACAGAGGTTTCCAAAAACATTAAACTCAACCAACTACTCAACAAGAGACATGACACAGGTAGATCATACTGCATGTTAGCTCCACTTTTACAATGTTTTTAATTTCTGAAAAAAAGAGCAGCCTATTTGACACTAGGTCTTGTTACATTTGTTCCCATCCCAAAGGCAGTAAATTTTCTTCCAGGTATTTTATTATTTGGGAATTAATACTTCTTTTTTTTCCCCTCCCTCAAATGAAAAAACCTTCCTTGAGCAAAAGCTTGGGACAACTGGAAGCTAGGAGTCAGAAAGTTGCTTCTACACGCCTTTACTGACACGCTTCCCAATCCGCTGGGAGTCTGCATCTCGCCCATGCAGAAGAATGAAATAGAGGATCATTACTCTCCTGCAGCTCCACAGAAGCTTTGTTCCCTCACGAGGGAGACGAGGCGGCTCTGCTAACTCGGCCTTCCAGGCTGGCGAGCAGCCAGCACGATGGCTGTCATGACTCCGGGACACCCACCTGCACTGGGCCTCGCATTCAGTGTCTCAATGCAGAAAGAGTCCAACATTCCGCCCCAAAAGGCCACAGCCATGGCCTGAAGCAGAGCCAAAGCTTTACAGACAGCACGCCATCCGCTCTGAAGAGAACAGTGATTTTTAAGGCAGCTCCAAACCCAGTATTCGGCCCGAACGCCGCTGCTGCGGCCTCAGGGCATGTCTCTGGAAACAGGTCACGCTTCCAGCAGCCCGCACCGTGACGGACCACCCTTCCCCGCAAGCCCGGCCCCGCTC